AAAGTAGAAATTTGTTTTAAATGATTCGTTGGTGGAAATGTAACATTTATATTTGTTACTAGCCTTTTACTAGGCCTTCTTTTAAAAAGTTCAAAAAAAAAAAGGAATTTGATTGCTCCGCAAGCTCATTGAGTTTGTCAAGCACAAGGCCCACGTGCATTCGCATGGGGAAGGACACGGGCAACGACGTTGCTTTGTTGAGCAGCTCACATCCCACGTCGTCGTATATTTGTCTCTTTATCGAGTTCAGATGTTGACCAACATTTGAGTAAGGAAAGTCGTGGAATCAACCGAATTAAGGAATTAAAAAAATGCAGAAGCGATAAATTGTTAAGTTTTGAATTACCAACTTCTTGACTTTCTTAAAATTATTATAATTATAATTAGTATTAAATAAGCAAAGTTTTTACAGTATTAGATGCAACCATAGGATATATGAGGTGGTCGCCGCTAAGGATTGGTATTCAGCTTCAATCGACGAACTTGCCGTACTATGTTATTTCTTCACGGTCCATGATATGAAAAAATATTACATCAGTACTACGCACGTAGAGGAACGTGCGTACCCAATGAAATCACGCCACGATATCCCGCGCGACGCAGAAAAAAAACGGCGCAGTAACACGGGGAATATTCCTTCCCGTGTTATTCATGTGTTATTGTGTGTTATTCATGTGTTATTGTATCCTGGGAATATTCCTGGTGTTATAATAACACAATAACACATGAATAACACATGAATAACACACAATAACACAAGAATAACACGGGAGAGAATATTCCTCCGTGTTACTGCGCCGTTTTTTTCTCTGTCGGGAATATTTCCCGTGTTATTCAAGTGTTATTGTGTGTTATTCATGTGTTATTGTATCCTGAAAATATTCTTGGTGTTATAATAACACAATAACACATCAATAACACATGAATAACACGCAATAACACATGAATAACGCGCAATAACACATGAATAACACAAGAGAGAATATTCCCCGTGTTACTGCACCGTTTTTTTTGCTCTACCGCGCGAGATGTCGTGGCGTGTTTTGATTGGCTACGCACGTTATTTTTACGTGCGTAGTACTGATGTAAATATGCTTTTTGTTTTAGAAATGCAGGATACTTGAAATAGGCTAAGACTTATATACTCAAAAGCCAAGGTTATGAAATCACATGCTTACATCAATGAATATAAATGTCTTACCTATACTAAGCAATTAAAAGAGCTTTTCAAAACTTATAAATTCTTTAATTATTGAGCTAAAGAAGAATCTTTGAAATATCTATTTAAAAGTCATTAAGTTTTGTTTTGGAATAAGTTTTAAAAAGATTTTATGTTGTGTTGGAAATTTTAAATTTTAGGTTTGTTAAAAAGGTTTTAGTTAAGGAGTATTTTAAAGTTTAAATTAATGTTTTATGTTTTGGTTTGTATAAAAAGGCTTTAGTTTTGAAAAGGTTTTAAAGTTTATTAAAAGGTTTTATATATTAAGAATACTTTAAATTTTAAGGATTTTATTAAAATTTAAGACTTTTAATATTGAGAATTTATGTAAGCAATTTTAAAAGGCCTTTGACTTTAAAAAAGGAGTTGGGATTATTTAAATTTTGAAAAAAAAAGTGTTAATTATTTTAATTTTAAAAAAAATTAAGATTTTTTTTTAAGTTTGAAGGTGTAAAATTTTATCAAAAGATCTTTAATGCCATAAAAAGGTTTAAATTTTGAGAATGATTTGAATCTTATTAGTGGTTATCATTTTAAAGTTTAAATTTTTATTAAAAAATTAATTTTTAAGATTTATTTTTTAGGTTTTAAGGATTTAAACGTTTGTGAAGAAGATTTAAGGTTTAAATTTTATTAAGGACTTAATTTGTTAAGATTTAATGTTTAAAATTTACGGATTTTAATTTTTTATGATAGGTTTGGTTTTCTTAGAAAATACTTTTGAGAGAATTTTGGAAAATAATTATTTAGAGGAGGTTCTCTTGAGTTTGAACCTTAACAAAATTTCTTAGAACTTGTTATATTTTAACACATTTAATTAATATAAAAAAATTATTTAAATTTATTAAGTATAACTATGCCCGTCTTCTCTCTTAGCCTCAGGAGTTAAATTATTTTTCCCATAAGCTCACAAGAATTTAATAGTGGAAACTTTCCTCTTGAGATTTCAATTAAAAGAAATGAGAAAAAACCTAAGAGAAGAATTTTTTTTTGATAAAAAATCTATCTTTCTTACAGCAGCCCATGATGCTCTATGCCCGGCCTAGTGCATTAATTTATAGGTAAAGCTGGGTAAATGCAAGAAAATTCTTGCCAAAAATAATTTTTGTGATCTGCCTCGAGTGCACTGTGAACACTGCGCTGGTGCGACGTTGCCTCTGCGTGGGAGCAGCCGAGCCGCGATTACGGCGCAGCTGTGCTGAAGTTTGAACAAATCAGTGGGCCCGGGAGCGCATGATCTAGCTCGGGTCTTTAATCTGGGCGAAGGGGCGCTGAACACAGCGCGGGTGCGCCAGAATTAAAGTGGATGCGCCGACTTGTTGGCGTGTGTGCTGTATTATGTTCTTTTTTGTTCTATTTTTCATCTAGATTTTTCGTTCACCCTATCCCTTGCCCAAGTAAGACAAAAATAACTTCTTAGGCATAACAATAGTCAAAAAGATAAAAAATATATGGAAAAACATGCCATCAAAATATCACATTTTTTACTCTTATAACACAGTAAAAACACATCCTTTTGCATATGGAACAAGCTAAACTTGCATATTTAATGCTCATCCAACTCGTATAAATTAAAATAAATTTCACCCATCTTGCATGACAGAAAATTCATCCAACTTGCTTGTATGAAAATCCAACTACTTCAAATTTAAAACACGAATACATACATTCATAGGCATGTATACAAAACATGCTAAGACATACATTCATACACACACTCACATGCAAAACATTTATGCTTGTCACATTTATATTTCCAGATATTTTCTATTTTTTCTTACACCAACACATTTGCACACTCATCATCTTATATATGTGTCACATCACATGTAATTACGTAGATCAGATCGCCCATAAATAAATATTTACACGCACACACAAAAAAAATAATAACATATATATATATATATATATATGGAATATATATATCTTTGTATGTATGTATGTACGTACGCACGTATATGTATGTATATATCTATGTATGTATTTGTATGTATCTTTGTGTGTCTGTATATATACATACATACATACGTACATATAAACATATATCCAAATATATAAACATCTATAAATGCATACATACATACATACTTGTATTGTGTGTAGACACACACATGTATGCATATTAATTATTTAAAAAAAAAACTAAATATAGCAAGTAAAATGATTAAAATCTCATTTAAATTTGCTTCACAGTTGAGCAGATTCTCGCCCAGGCACCTTGAAATCTAATCAACTAGCTCATTTCAAGTAAATTATATAAATTCGAGCTTATTCAAAAAAATAATCGAACCGTAATTATTCTCTGCTCTTTTTAATGATCGTTTAAGCAATACGCTTTGACGCGGCTAAACCGTCCTTGTATGAATGAATCCTGGAGCCGCCATGGCAGTCTCCATTGTCGACCCGAAAAAATGGCCGACCCATACCAGGCCCGACACTACCACGCGGGCTTCGTGCCACTAGCTGACGTTGGCCATGATATTAGCCAGCTTGGGTTCTAGAAAGGCCGCGGATGAGTAGGATGCTTAGTGAACAAGCCACGACCCGGGAAGCCCGAAGCTAAACGCGTAGGAACTGAAAGACAAAATAGATGACAACCATAAAAATATAAATTAAAATCAAGAAGATATTTAAATAAAAAATGTTATAAATGATTTCTCATTTTTTTTATGCTTTTTATTTAGCATATATTCACACATTCATATTTTCTTATTCCATTTTCCTATTTCGTGTCCGTAAGCATGACGAAATACAAACGAATGCACGCGCCGAAAAAGTAATGGGAAAGCATTCCGTTTCCGCGTTGACAGATAGCGATGAAGAGCTGCTGATTTCCGATCGAAACTCCGTTTCTCTCTCCTCTTTTATCCATTCTCCGCTATCTCCTTCCTTTCTATTATAACTCCTTTTCTGTTCATGGAACAGCAGTTGCATCATCAAGAACGCGATATCGCCGGTGAGGTTGCGGCGTCCAGTAGCGGTGGAGGGGAGCGGCTAA